TATGGGATAAAACTGTAAATAATATGTCTGACAGTCTCTTATACACCCTTTAGGGAAAATCCACAATATAGAGATGACAATGGACATGGAAAAAAATACATTTATTATAGGTCGGAGTATTTTCTCCGTGTTGAATCTTGAATCCGTGTCCAATAATAATCTTTTACTTGTACATTGTCTGTCAAAATTCATTATCGTTTGTGATCCTCATTACTGACCCCAGTGAAGGAGGAGGGCAGGTGATAGTACGGATCTATCCAGGAAACAATTGACCCACTGCAGGTGAACTCCTGGATGCTGAAGTGAAGGAGGAGGGCAGGTGATAGTACGGATCTTTCATTATCCAGGAAACAGTTGACCCACTGCAGGTGAACTCCTGGATGCTGGAATAGACTAGGTCTCCTGAGCTATTAGAAATGACAAGAAATAATTACACTCTAGTGCATGTCACAGCCTAAATTCGAGCACTCTTAGTGGGCTCGGGGAATGATTTTGCTCCGGCTCTAGTCCAGCTTCATTGGCTTTGTTTGTCAAACAGCATCATGACATCATGTTTCTTCTTGCTTTGTGAGTTTTCTTTCTTGGAACACTTCATTGAGCTCAGCTAGTTGAACTGAGTGTCAGAGTGAACAAAAACAGCATCTCGACTGTCTTACTCGTCATGTAAGCTTGGAAGACTGTTAACCAGAGGCTGTGGGTATACGCGAATTTCAAAAGGCACCGCAGGTAAATGTCTAGGGCTAGGCTGTGAGAAAGAACCCCAAAGGTATCTGGTCACATGCCATTCTAAGAAGGATAAAAGGAAGGTGAGGCAGCAGCTGGGGTCTCAGCCTCTATGGAAAGGTCAGGAGGACCAGGTCGGGGGTCAGGTCCTCGGTGGGCATTCCATTCCGTTCAGCCTCATCCTCAGCCTTGCCTCTTCGTTTCAAAGCCGACTCTGCACTTTCTCAGTACTTAGCTACCTTTTCTAGCCGATGCCTGGAATTCAAGGAAAGTCCAGCTTTGCACACAGTATCTTCGAACTGTGTTCCACTAAGCTTTAATCAAGTGTGTTTTTAATGAATGATATGCGAGCAAACTCCTGCGCAGGGAACAGTACGTGCATCATTCATGCCTTGCACTGAGAATGTGGGGTTTTGAAAGGATGCAATGGGCAGATGTTTGTGTTAAAGGCGTCTCTTCTCAGCTCGATCCTCTCCCTCTCCCCGGTCCATGTGTGTTGTGCAAAGCGCTCTGCCCAGGCCCATGGCTCTGCGTTGGGTTTGTTTTCTGCTCCGTCTGCTCCACGCTGAGGCCTGTGAAGAGCAGGAGAGCCGTTGACTCGCTTGGCGGCCTCAGCCTAGCCCAGACCCTGGCACAGGCCGGCGCTCAGTGAATGTGGAAGAAAGCAGTGGTCGGAGAGCCTCAGAGGTTGATATGCCAGGTCCCCAGGAGGGCAGCCCTGTTTATTCTCTCACTTTGTTTGGGCCAAGAGGAAAGTCTAGGAACTAGGCGTGTGTGGGGGCGGGGGGGCCCTGTGACTTCATGTTGACTAGGTCATATTGTCCCCCGAGAAAAGAGCTGTCTGGAGTGAGCCCCGGACTTGATATCAGCATTTCATAACGGGTATGTCTGGGCCTGGTTTGTCTTGTTCTTAGACTCCCGTCTTTTATGGAGCGCCTCCTCCCTGTGTGAGAGGAGCTGTGCTCTCTGCTAGCTGACCGAGGGGAAGGCGGGGTGGGGGCGGGGGGGCTCCTTGGCAGGGCTCCTGGAGGCCCTGGGGGAAGTCGTGGGGTTCTGACAGCATCTACTCCATTGAAGCCATTTCAAGAAGGGGCCCCTTTCAGCCAGGGCAACAAGGAGTGTCTTGTTCTGTCCTCCGGAGTCCTGCGAGGGCCGCCGTGTCTGAGCGGTGCATTAGCATCCAGGCAGCATGCCACAGGAGGGAAGGGTTTCATCTGGGCCTCTGGGAACTGGCCGCAGGGGGAGGCCCGGCTGAAAGCGGTGCTCGCTGCCAGGGCAGTGCCGTGCCAGGGAAACCTTACGTGGAGGTTGCAGCCAGCAGCAAGGGCCGTGGCGCGGGCCGCGGCGAGCCACAGAGGAGCCTGGCTTGTGGATGTGGCACCGAGAGAACGCAGATGGGTCATTTTAGGTTTCTCCTTCCACCCGTAAGATGCTTTGTTTTCAGTTTCCTTTGTACTTTGCAAATTCCCGTTGAGCCCGAGGGTAAAAAAAACAACAACAAAAAAAGATGGTACCCCACAAAGAGATGATATCACGGATTGAAGTGTTTGCTTGGGGTTATTTTAAAGGAAATGATGCTTTCGTGTTCCTGATAAAACCATCCTGAAGCCCTTTGGATGTTTGTAAAAGCCAGACCGCATGGTGAGGTGCTGTTTAAAGTGTGGATATTACTCCCGACACTCCCCGCACAGAGCCCAGTCTCCTCCTCCTCCTCCTCCAAAGAAGCCCGTCTTTCGCACACGGCTGTGTCCACGCTTCCCGCCTTCTCTCATTACGCCGTGAGCACCACGAGGGAACCCCAGCTCATGGACCCCAGACCGCCTGGCTTCACCTTCTGACTGCACTGCTTGAATTGGGTTTTTTTGTGTGTGTTTTGTTTTTAAATATATTTTTATTGATTTCAGATAGGAAGGGAGAGAGAGATAGAAACATCAATAATGAGAGAGAATCATTGATCGGCTGCCTTCTGAACCCCCCCCCCCCACACTGGGGTTCGAGCCCGCAACCCGGGCATGTGCCCAGACCAAGAATTGAACTGTGACCTCCTGGTTCATAGGTCGACGCTCATCCACTGAGCCATGCTGGCCTGACCACTTGGCTGTTTTACTGTGAGCAGGCACTTCACACTCCAAACTTCAGCTTTGTCCTCTGTGAACACGGAAATAATCGTGCCAGTATTTTCTTCCAAGATTTTTGATAAGACTAGATTAGATGGTACTTGCAAAATGCAAAATGTCCTGTACCTGTCACGTAAATAAAACTGTTTAGAACAAGGCCCAGTTCCTACCCTCCTGGGGTGTATGACCTGGTGAGAGAAACAGGCGAGTCGGTAAATGTTGGGGGATCGGTGTGGGATGAGTGACCCATGATTTCATAGGTCAGCAGGTGTTTGCCGAGTCCCTGCTGTGTGCCAGGCAGTGAGCCGTATAGCACGGTGCCTGCTTTCATGAGGCTTACAGTGGACCAGGAGCGTGCAGAGGGGAGTGTGGGAACAGGACCGCCAGGCTGGGATGGGGACGAAGTATGGGTGGACGCATCAGAGCAAGCTACCTGGGAGAGGTGAGGCTTGTGTTTTCAGTGTGGAGTGGGTGTGTGGAACAAAAGAAGTCAGACACAAAAGTGGACACAACATGGGATTCCATTTTCTTACAGAACGGGATAGGCAACACTCGTCTATGTTGGTGGCAGCCAGAACCGGGGTTACATTTCCGGGAGGTCATGGCTTGGAAAGGGATAAAAGGGAACCTCCTGGCGTGTGTCTCCGGACCTGGTGGCATGTGTACGTGGGTAAACCTAAGGAAACTCACAGAGCTATTTACACATAAGATCAGTGCAGGGTTTTATTTTACATACGTTCTTCAATCTAACGTTTATAAGTAGCGATTATGAGGGGGTCTAGCTCAGCAACACAGCAGGAAGGTTGTATCTGAGAGTGAACAGAGCCAGTAGGAAAGGTGTGGAACAGCATGACATGTTCTCACACTGGACAACGGCTGCTCTGGATGGAGGGTGGATACACATGGGGGTGAAGAGGGGGCGGCAGAGCCCGGCCGGTGTGGCTCAGTGGTTGAGCATTGACCTATGAACCAGGAGGTCATGGTTCGATTCCCGGTTAGGGCACATGCCTGGGTTGCGGGCTCCATCCCCTGTAGTGGGCGTGCTGGAGGCAGCCGATCAGTGATTCTCATCATTGATGTTTCTCTCCCTCTCCCTTGCTCTCTGAAATCAATAAAAATATACTTTAAAAAAAAGATGAGGTGTTAGTGAAAAAGAAGAATTTTTTAGGAGCAAGCTATTATGGGAGGAAAAAATGGTTTTTCAAGTACTGGACATGAAGAAGGGAAGAAGGTAGAGAGAGTGGTCCTAGTAGAAATTGACCTTGGTTGGGATCTCGGATGTTATAACTTAGTATTCTCATCTTTCTCACTGGCTTTTGGGAGGGCTGTATGATATAATGAATGGATGTCAAGTGCTGTGTCTCCCATGTCGTATTGACTTACTGCTTCTTACGAGATTTCAAAGTGTGTATGGGTGTGTGGCTCATTTCATTGCAATCCCGATATTTGGCTTTTCCAGGCCATAACCTGTATTATGGAGTAGTGCTTGCTTATATGAAACTTCTGATCCTTTCATTAAGTAATTACTTTGTTTCATGTAAATATAGCTTAATGTTGAAGAAAAAGTCTTGGTTGTTTTTTGCCTTGAATTATTTTTGGCTGTACTCATTAAGCCATATTAATAAGCATTTGAGCACAGGCTAAAAATGGTCAAAAATTTCTATTTCAATAGAGCTCATATTGGGCAATATTAGTTGAAGGGGGAACAAAGCAGCTTTAAATATATCACGTTTCTCATCTTTTCCGAAATGGTTTGAGTATGGGGGGAAAGGGAGGGGAGGGCATGGAGGGAGACTGCCTTAGTGGGATGTGTTTTCTTTTTTAAGGAAATTCACTTTTTTGAAACGTTTAACTTCAGATTATGCGTTACTGAACATTTTTTTGTGATTGCAATGTGTAAGTGTAGTCAGCTCTTTATTAAAGGTTAAACTGTCAAGTGAGAAGTTCCACTTCACCAATAGCTAGCCAGGTTCATTCAGAATAGTTTAAGTGTCCCAGATGACCATTTAAAACCCCTCACCTTTATTGTGAAGGTCAGCCCCAGACCTCTCTAGGTCATCTCTCCCCTTTTTGGGAAATGGCTTTGCATTCTAGGACATGCTTTGTTCTCTGGAAACACTCTGCATCTCTCAACGGGCTCTGCCCTGTGTGTTTGTTTAGGAGTGAGCGAGCCCGCTGGATAACCGCCCTGGGACACAGCAGCGGGAAGCAGCCTCCTGACCGAACCTGTAAGTAACTCCTGGGCTGTCTGCTCTGAAAGGCTGACCATGGAGGGGCTCTGCCCCCTGCTGGACGCTGGGGTATTAACGCTCCCCCCAGGTTTCTTTCCTTCCTGCTGCCTGTCCTACATCAGAACTAGGTGATCCCTGCTTTGGAAGTCCAGGACTCTGAGTTCAAATCCAAGGTGCAGTTGTTCTTTGTTATATAAATGGGGTACATTGTGGCATATCCACCCCGAGCCAGTTTGACCTTCTGCAGTCGGGGGCTTCATGATATATACACTGAGTGGCCAGATTATTATGACCACCCCATCAGTACTTCATTGACACTTCCAAAAATACTGAATATTGAAAACTTTCTAAGCAAATACTCTCAAGGTTTTATTATTATTATTATTATTATTAGCATAACTAATTAACTTCATTGTACTGATGGGGTGGTCATAATAATCTGGCCACTCAGTGTACAGTACTGGGTTATTGGGAAGAAGGAGTTAAATAATATCCATTGAAAGCCCTGCTTAGATTTGTGAAAGTAAAGTGCTTACATTTCTAGCTGTGGTTCAGGGTCATTGGCTGCATGTTTAAGCCATACTGACTGTCTAAATCTAAGCTGAAATGTATTTTTAACCGTAAGGAGAATGGCTTTACTATTCCTTTTGACCTTTTTTTTTTTTTAATTGAAGTGGTAATAGTTACAAAATGTATTTCATTCTTCTAGAGAAGTAGGAACTAATGCGGTCCAAGGTGCTGTATTAGCGCCTTCACGCTGATGTAATGCTTCTCTGGATGGTTCTAGCTGGAAGGTCAAATCCAGAGGATAAAGGGCAACGAAACTGTTTGTCCTGGAACACTCAGAAGTCACAGCTTTAAGCGTAGAGCCAAAGCTAAAGTGATGGATTGGAATAAAAGTTCATAGACTCAAGTTCTGTATTCAAAAAAACAAATTAAGTAAGAAGTCTCGCCCGTCAGTACCAAGTCACTGAAGTAAATGGCTTTATTACGATTTAGCATAATGGGGAAATGCAAAATGTTTTCTAACTTTTGGTTGGAGATCTTTTTATTCCTAACCCTCTTTGGCAGCTTCCATGTGCTGCTGCTGATGGGAAAGCACCTTGGATGAGAGCCTGGAGGCCTGGATGTGTTGTGGATTTCATCATCAGCTGCCTGTCCTTGGCACCTTACCTGACCTGTCTTGTCTCAGTTTCCCCAGTGCATAGGGCTGTGTTCTGCTCTGTTACGTGACGTGACTAATGGCTCCTTATCAAGGCTGTTCTTGAGGGGATTCCTACATCATAAAAGGCCTCTCTCGACTCTGAGCTTCTGAAGTTATAAAGCTCTTAGCCCAGGATTTTCTGCTGCTTCATAGAAGCCTAAGTTGTTTCTATCAACGCCGGCCTCGAGTTGCACAGAGAGACTGAGAACACCATTGATTTGTACCTGTTCTGTTTTTCCTCTGCTGCTGGAAGCTCAGTGTGTCCCCTTTCCTCCCTAGCACTGACCCAGGTAGAAATCATTAGATCGTTTACCGCCAAGCAGCCAGACGAGCTCTCCCTGCAGGTGGCCGACGTGGTCCTCATTTATCAACGTGTCAGCGACGGTGAGTGCAAGCGTTCTCACGGGCGGCCAGCGTTCAGGGTGGGAGGAACCAAGGAGGCTGCTTTCTGTTATTCATGTGCACATTCCACATCCCTTCGGTTTTTCTCATGTGCACCAGCCTCTCCTCTTTCTACACTTGATGGCTCTTAACGTGTTTTTGAAAAGGGTTGCAGTCACGTGGTTTGTTACTCGAAAGGAGCTATGAAAAGTTTTCCTTCCTTCCCAGTGACCTAGCTCCCATCTCCGGACAATCATTTTTCCTGCTGCCCCTACCCAAAGCGGCCTCCTCCCCAGCTCAGCCCAAACTCACAGACTGTCTCAGCTGCTCACTTTGGAGCCTCTGGTCATGTCACTCATTCTCCCTTGAAGACAGCCCCTCTGTTCCACCTCCCTCTCCACCCCCCATTATCTGCGGTACCCAACATCCCTCCTTGTTGGAGCCGAGCACAGTGAATATACCCCCAGACACGCGTTGCTTCATGAGGACTCTGTTCTTCTCTGCAGGCTGGTATGAAGGGGAGAGACTGCGAGATGGAGAAAGGGGCTGGTTTCCCATGGAATGTGCCAAGGAGATAACATGTCAAGCCACGATCGATAAGAATGTGGAGAGAATGGGACGTTTGCTAGGACTGGAGACCAACGTGTAGCCTCTCCGGTGGCCTTTTGCGACTGCAAGATTTGCACTGCATTGTGGTGGGTGGGAAGGTCCTGTGCTGGTGTTCTTCTGAGTTTTCACACGGCTGATTGGATTAAAAGGAGGAAAACATTTGCCTTTAAGCTTGCCAGGTGGTTTTGCTCTCTTAGGAGAATGGCTAGTTCGCAAAGCTGGGTGTGCGCACAACGATTCTGTTGCAAACCTCTAGGTCAGGGGTCCTCAAATACGGCCCGCGGGCCACACGCAAATACAAATATTGTATTTGTTCCCGTTTTGTTTTTTTACTTCAAAATAAGATATGTGCAGTGTGCATAGGAATTTGTTCATAGTTTTTTTTAAACTATAGTCTGGCCCTCCAACGGTCTGAGGGGCAGTGAACTGTCCCCCTGTTTAAAAAGTTTGAGGACCCCTGCTAGGTAAACAGAGTAGCTGGGCAGGCAGTCCACATGCGGGATGCAGGGGCCTGGACTCCTCCCAGTTCACTGTGTCTGGCAATAAAACATGTACATACGATGCTGTACCCTGATTCTCTAGCCTCACTTAACCAAGAATGGGCTCTCGCTGTGTAAGCATCTCCTTTATGTGGTTTTCCCAGCATTAGCAGGAGTCTCTATCTTGAAGGAATGCTCAGTTTTGTATATACTTTTCCTGCTCTGACATTTTAGGTCTGATTAGAATGCTGTGTGGATTTCGAAAGAAACTGAGGGAGTTGTGAAGGTGAGCAAAGTTTTTTTAAACCTCTTCCAGGGAAAGGGAAATTGACACTTGAATTGTTGCCACCTCTCTCTTGGTCAGCAGGGAAGGAAGGAGGCCTTACGTATTTTTTTAAAAATATATCCGTTGTACCCAATATTGGCCTAAGACAAGTATAGCCTAATAACACTACGCTGCTTTAACAGCATAAAATTTAGATGGTTCGCGTATGTGAGAAAAGCTTAAATATAGGACAGTAATCCCAACTGAGCTGATACATGGACATGAGGCTGCTTCGCCTTCAGTCATGCAGGGTTTCTGACTGTTTCTCCTCCCACTCATTTCCAAATAGGAAAGGGGCTGACACACTTTAACACTCCCTAGGAAGATCAGATTCGGCCTTAAAACGGAGAAACCAGCATGGTACTGAACTGAAACATCAGTTTGCCTTTCATGGGGGAACCCATCTTCTCTGCACGAAGGCCTCCCTGGCTGGGTTTGGAGCCTCTCTTTACTGCAGGTGTCTGCAGAACTTCACTTCTTCCACTCGTGCAAGGAGAGAGAAGAGCCATTTTAAAAGTATGTTTCAGACACAGGGCGTGAGGTTTGGAAGATTGAGAGGGGAGAGCCGATCTGTACCACCAGCTATGTTGGCGCTCTGCTCCATTCTCTTCCACCAACGGGTAAAACCTGGCAAAGGATGCATTGTTCAAGGCCTCAGACCTCTGTGTGAGATGCCCAGCTGCTGCCTGCCAACCAGTTACCCAAACTGGCAGTAAAGTTGAAAATAGTGCAGGAGGTAAGTACACTTGGCTCTCGTGCCCTGAGTCCTGCCACCTCAGCTGTGAGCCAGGGAGGAGCACCCTGGGCCTTCTTGCCCTGATGGCTCCCCTTTCCCTGTGCATACATTTCTGGGAATAAAACACATGCCAGGCCCAGAGTTCCTTGAGGTCAGGAAGTCACAGCAAGAGATGTTGGGGACTGAGAAAAAAGAAATCTGTCTCCTTCCTCGTTAACGTCAGAGACTTTTTGGAGGAGAGGGGAACAAGTTGTAATCTAATCTAACCTGATGTTTTCATGTAGGAAGGAAGGTCAATTTGTTGCTTGCACAGGGGTCAATTTTGTGTTATTTTTGCTAATACCCAGACGCAAAAAAGCAACTAAACGAGTCCTGTGAATTAATTTATAAGTAGAGATGCCAAACAGCTTTGGAAATATGTGCATCTTAGAAATCAAAGCCTTGTTTAGCAGGCAGGTTAATACTGTTGTTAGGTATAGTGTTTTACAGGAGGTATTTAACACATTCACAACATGTGTCGTTTTTATGTGACACAGTGCTGTTTGCCAACCTAGTTCAGGTTCTAGGATAGCTTCTCTGAATTGCACAATTTCATTCAGCGACCTGTGGAGAACAAAAATACTCATTTTTGTCCCAATGAACTGAGACTGCTTGTACACTTTTGACGAAACATGTGAATTTATAAAGATTTTGTATATATGTGTTCATTTGTCCTGGTGTGATTTAATTTACTGTAGATATATTCATTTAAGTAAATGGTTTGCTGAATTCTTGGCCAAATCTGAGTTCTACGAAAAAGATATCGGCAGCTGACATCCAAGGGAACAGGTGTGTCCTTGGTTTCGTGTTGGCATCAGCTGCCCCAGAAGGCTGGAACATTTTTAAGAGCTGGGCCATACTGTTTCGTCTCATGGTTTCCACAAAACTGCATGACTGACTAGCTTCTATTAAATAGTTCACAGTCCCCTAACCGCTATTGACCCCTGGAGTATATCTTATTCATTTTGGCCACGTAGTATCTAAACCTTGGTGCTTGTGAAATTTCACTACCTTGTGAATCTTGGTAGAAGGCAAAGGATGAGTTATTCTATAGCAGTGGTTCTCAGCCTTCTGGCCCTTTAAATACAATTCCTCATGTTGTGACCCAACCATAAAATTATATTCATTGCTACTTCATAACTGTAATGTTGCTACTGTTATGAATCGTAATGTAAATATCTGATATGCAGGATGGTCTTAGGCGACGCCCGTGAAAGGGTCATTTGACGGTCAAAGGGGTTGCGACCCACAGGTTGAGAACCACTGTTCTATAGTTAGTTGTTTTATTTTTTTGCTGTGTGACAGATTTCTATAAGACAACACTCATTTTTTATCTCACAGTGTTTAAAAATGTTTTTAATTTTTAGAGAGAGAGGAAGGGAGAGAGAAACATTGATGAGAGGACCATCTATTAACTGCCTTCTACATGCCCTGTACTGGGGATCTAGCCTGTAACCCAGGCATGTGCCCAGACTGGGAATTGAACCAGCAACCTCTCAGTGCATGGGACGATGCTTAACTGAGCCACACCGGCCAGGGCCATCACATAGTTCTGTAGTCAGAAGTCAAGGATGGCCTGGTGGGGTTCTCTGCTTGGAGCATCGCATACTGAAGTCAAGAGTGTTGGCTGGCTGATTTCTCAACTGGAAGGAGCTAGGGTGTCTTCTTTCAAGCTCATACCTGTCATTCACACCTTCACTTCCTTGTGACAGCCGCCTGAGATCCCTGTTTCCCTGCTGGCTGCCAGTGCAGGGTGAGGGGGAGATGCTCACAGCTTCCCCTGGCTGTTCATATTCCTTGCCAGGTGGCTTCTTCCATCCTTAAGGCAGCAGTGGCATGTTGAATCCTCACACTCCATACACAGTATGCTACCAGCAGGGGAAAAAACTCTGCTTTTAAATAACTCCTGTAATTCTGTTAGACCCACGGGATGATCTCCCTTACGTTTAACTCAAAAGCAACTGGTTAGGCATCTTAATTAAACCTGCCTGCAAAAAGTCCTTTGCCATTCAGTGCAACGTAATCAGACACAACACCAAGGAAGCAGAGATCAGGAGTCATTTTAGATTTCTGTCTCCACCCGTTATAAATCCTTAAAATGCTTAGAGAGATCAGGAGTCATTTTAGATTTCTGTCTCCAACACCCGTTATAAATCCTTAAAATGCTTAGTTTCCCCAGTATTCCGTGTAGCTAAAATACAGCCATGTGCTAGGATACACCAATCAAAGGAAACTTTGTTAGATTTCCACACAAGGTAGGGAAGGAAAAGAGAGGAGTACCATCTCTGGGGCTGCCTCCCCATCTGCTCCATCCTCCATTCCAAATCACTGCTATGTTCGCTGGACTTTGGAAAGCAACAGGAAGGTGGAGTTACTTGGCGGACTTGCAGTGCTAAACGAAGCTGGCCATGGTGCCTGCCATAATCTCCCATGTTGTGGATTGGGTCGTCAAAGGGCTTACTCCGGAGTGAGAATATGAATCTTCAGGACCTGCAGCCTCCCTCTTTGGGCTTCTAGAATACTAAGATCCTGACAGAAGGAAACAAAACCTAGTCTAGAGGAAGCTAGCATCATCTTATTTCTCAAGTATTTCCAAAAACAAATTTGCAAATGAAAGGTTCAGAAAAAATAAATCTGAGACCCAGCATCATGATACAGAAAAAACTGACACCCAGGGATTCTAGATATTCAAATCATTGGAGACAATAAAATAATTGTAATAGCTATGCTCATGGAGATAAAGCCCAACTTTAAAATGCAATTCAGAGCTAACAACTTCAAGAAGAGATCTACCGAAGGACTTGTATGCATGCATATAAGCATAACCAATGGACATGACACTGGCGGGTAGGGGAGGCCGGGGGAAGGTCAAGGGCTGGGGAGGGAGGAGACATATGTAATACTCTTTGTAATACTTCAAGCAATAAAACAAAAAAAAAGTGACAAAGGAAAAACAGCAGTGAGAAATTGTGGAACTGGGTTTTTACACAGGATTGGATTGTTAAAAGATATTGGTGAACTGGAAGTGAGGCGAGAAGGAACCTACATGGAAGCATGGAGAGAAGAGACATGTGGAATGCAAGGATATATAATTGGACTCCAGAGGAGAGGGGAGAGGGCACTTAGCAAGGACTGCACCTTTATGACCCTGTTTTGACCACCCACATGGTGTAAACTGTCCCCAGAAAGAGAAAGTGGCCCTGGGTGAGGGGACTCCCTACAATTCCTGTAGAGGGTGAAGGCTGTCATTTTGATAGCACTTCCAGCAGCTAAAGGAATAAGTCCATCTGGGCAGAACATCACAACATCCACTGCACGTAGCTATTTCAATACTAGATCAAATCGTCTTTAAGATAAAAGGTATTTCTAGGGATAATGAGTCTACATAATGATGAAAGTTCCATTTAACCAGAAGGAGATAACAATTCTAAATATATATTATCCCAACCACATGATGTCAC